GGGGTTTTTACTCTTTCTAAGGGTCTCAAAATGGCCAGGGTTCCTTGCTGCTTTGATAAAGCTGGTGGTTTAATGCTCTCTGCTGGGCTTGCGATAGAAATGTCCATGCTGAAGAGCACAAGCAGCGGGTTTAAACCCTCCGAGAGCCCCAGCAGTCCCAGAGCTGGTGCAGGGAAGTGTGATGGGGCAGCGGCTGGGGGAGGGAGCAGAGGGTGGGATCACCTGAGCTTTCCCATGACTTGCAATGACTCTGCAGAGACACCCAGGTCTCCCAGAAGATGAAGCCAATGACACTCAAGGAATGCAAGAAGGAAGAGAAGGCGGACAGGGAGTTTCAGAAGAAATTCAAGGTGAGCAGCAATGAGCCATTGCTTATCCCTCTAAGCCCCCCCCCTCACCTCCCAGGAAGGGCACAATGCAATGGCAGAGAGGAGCTGCGCTCCGCAGAGACCAGCCGATACCTAGGTCACACCTGCCCTGTTCCCCACAGAAACACCCCCAGATCAGACCAGTCCCGCAGACCATTTGGCTAGAGAGGGATCTGTTTCTCCAAGAAGGGAGCGCGGTGGGAGCTGCCCAGCTCACGCTCCCCTGGGGCAGCTGCCGAGCTGCAGCACTGCTGTTTGTGTTTCAGTTTGAAGGAAGCATCAACATCCTGACTCAGATGATGGTGGACCCCGCAGTGACGGAGAAGAAGGGTGGAGGGAAGAACCTGCCACTGAGACGAGGAGAAATTCTTGATGTCATTCAGTTTACAAATCAGGAGCAAATCCTTTGCCGAAACAGCCAGAGGAGGTGTAAGTCTGTGGGGGCTGAGGCTCTGCTCTTCCTCATGCTCGGCACCAGCATTTCTGCTGTTAGCCAGGCTCGTCTCCCTCTGCTAAAAGCCTTCGCAGTTCCTGGACCCTCTCAGCCACCAGCTCGGCATGTCAGACTTTGCCGTAGGCACAGACTCCACCCAAGCTATGTTTGCACCGAAGGATGCTCCGGTGAAATGGGCTGCAGATCCCCCAGGGATCGGGCTCTTCCCAGCCAGCTGCCACCCAGCCCGGCAGGCTCGTTCCCTGCATTGCCCAAGCAGGTTACCCCCAAGGGTCCAGCTCGGCTTCCCAGAGCCGGGCTCCTCCTTGCCCCCAGCCCTCCCAGGAGATACGAGATGTTGCTAAACCCTGCCTGTCCTGGGGAGGAGCAGGTGCTGGGGTGAGACCCTGCTCGTGCCCTGGCTCCTGGCACAACTGACGTGTTTTCCTTTCGTTGTTGCAGATGGCTACGTGCCCCGGGCTGCGATGCTACACCTGTGAGTACCCCTTCCCCACCCCCTTCCTCCCCACTCCATGAGCTGTAGCAATTGCCCAGCCAGTGCCCAGCACCAAACCAGCCCTGCCAACTCAAAACCATCAAGCCCAGGCCATGACCATAAGCATAACACCAGCTAGTTACCCTGGGGGTGGGATCTGCCCTTTCTGGTGTCAGGAGAGATTCTGGCACTGGGAGCAACTTCCTGGGGCGCTGGTGAGCCCTCCCCGAGCTACGGTCCCTCACATGGGACCTGCTCAGACACTGCTCAGATGCTGCTGGTGGCACGGTGTGACGCGCCAGCGCTGCCCCTCTGCGTGGCCAGGTCTGCAGCTCGCGGCAGCCTGGGATGGGGCCACCATCCCTGTGCAACGCGAGAGGGGCCAGAGCCATGCTCACCCCACGCCGGAGGATCTTGTCTCTGCGGGGAGAGCACAAGGCCGGGAGGAGGCGGATGGGGCTGCGTGGAGGACACCAGAGCCCGTAGGCGTGTTAGGAGAGACAGGACAGATGCAGCAGCAGGAGCTGGCCCTTGCGTCAGCATCGGGAGGCAGTGGGGACGTGGGAGACCAGACTGCTCACAGCACTCTGTCTTTTCCCTCGCAGGGACACTGACATCTACGATGACGTTGAGATTTACGGTAGGTGCAGAGGGAACCGCTGCTAAAGCCCCTTTGCCAAGCGCCGGGCGCTGCTCCCTGGCATGGGCAGACAGCAGTGATCCCCACTCCAGCACAGGGGCCCCACGTCCTGCCCCCTTGCTGTGTCCCCACCTTCCCTCTCTACCCTCCCTCTCCCGTGATTCCTCTCCCTCTCTCTGGGACATCCCTTCCTTGCTCTCAGTTCCCCCCAGGTCCTCATGTTCCTCCTTTCCCAATTACTTGGAGTTGCCCACACCCTTTCCCTTCTCATCTTGCTCCCTCCACTCGCTGCCAGCCCCAGGGACCCTTCGATGCCCTTTGAGATGTCCCTGATCCCTCAGACAGCTCAGGATGTCCTTTCCCAGTGTGCAAACTCCATCCCCCAGCTCGCAGACGGTTCTGAAGATGGAGCTGAATAGAGACAACTGTATTTTAGCTGTGCCAACGAGCAACTGTTTTATCTAATTCTGCCCGGCAGGTTGAGCGATCCATGCTAACGCCAAAGGCACAGGACAGCACCAACAGAGACCTTCCCAAGGGCTGAAACATGAAAAGCACTATATGCCACGCTCCTGCTTTGGAAGGAGTTCTGCTTCCTCTGAGATAGCCTGCAAAAGCCACTGTGTCCCTGACGAAACAGCGGTGAGGCCGTTCAGCACACTGCGGGGCTCCAAGGATCCTGTCCCACAGGGGCAGGGGGTTCAAAGAGATCCTCAAGTTAAGCCTTCTGTGTGGTTTTGTTTTGTCTGTGTAAAATACGGCAATGGTATGAGAGGGTTTCGTGGTCTTATCTGTAGGTGGGGGGTAAAATCTGGGCCAGAGAGGTTTTACTTCAGAGAGGTTTTACTGTTTCCCCATTCCCAGAGCATCCTCAGCCTGGGAACAGCTCTGTATCCCTAACCCCCCCCCACCCTGTCCTTCAGCTGCCTTCTGCACCGCTCTCCTGCCCCAGTGAGACTCCTGGCCTGAGCCAGAGTCAAACTGGACATAGAAATACTCTAACACACTGTGGGCAGCAATGATCATTGACCAGACTTCCCAGCAGCATCCTGTGGCCTTGGGGCAACTTCCCTGCAGAGCTGGTGGGGGGGGCGGATCTGTTGGGGTAGATATTCCTGTGGGTACATTTGGCATCGTCCCTCGGTGCCTTGGGCTGACGGTCTGTGCAGATTGCCATGGGAAATTCTTCGAACGACTGGGAAACAGCGTTCCTTTGCAGGCGTTGCCCTCACCAAGCCCTTACAGACGTGGGGTAGGAAGGGGGTGCACTCACAGCCGGTGGGAGCACAAATCCCCTGGCAGCCTCGGGTGGTGGGACCCAGATCCTTTTGGATCAGGAACGGTGACAGGAAGGGAGCTCTGGGGCCGAATCCCTGCTCTCAGCCTGCGGCACGCGGCCCCGATCCCGGGGGGGTGGAGGGTGAACCTGGGAGGGTCCGGCACCGGCAAGGCTGGATGCCAAGCCCAGATTAACCAGTTGAAGACGTCACTTTCCATTATGGGAACGGTTCTCAAATAGCCCTGAAGCTTTTGGTCCTGGGGATTAGCTGTGGGTGTGCTCGGCTCCCGGCAAAAGGCAGGGGTCCGTCGGCGCAGCGGTGCCCAGGGCACTGAGTGGGGCCGGGAGCTGCTCCGACGGGCATCGCCTGGGCGGCTGAGGACGACCATGTGGGAGCGGGTCAGGAGGGCTCTGCTGAACTCGCTGTCCACGACCTTCCTGCGTGTCTGGAAGTGGGTACAAGCTTTCTGGTGTAAAAATGGCCTCCTGACCCTGTCGATGCTGTCGGTTGCCACCGGGTGCCTCCTGGGGTTCCTGCTGCGGGCGCTGGAGCTGACGGAGCTGGTAAGCCTGGCTGGGATGGGGATGGGAGCGAGGGGGATGGAGCGGGGCAGTCGGGGCAACCGGCCCTGGTGCCAGCAAGACATCGCCATCAAGGGCCCCAGATGGGCACAGCCCCAAAAGCAAAGGCTCCTGCCCAAGAAAACCACCTCTCAGGGCAGGTTTCTCCCCATGGCTTTTCTTTTTTTTCTCTTTGGCCAAAAAGCTGCCAAAGCTGCAGGACAAATCCTGCCTGCCCCCACTGGGATGACTGGGGGGCTCTGGGACAACTCCACGGAGCTGCAGGAGCCTCCAGGTGGGATGGGGATGGGAAAGGGGGGGATGGATGCCTGGCTGCTCGCTAACAGGCTCCCCCCAACACAAACAGCAGTGCTGGGGTCCGAGGGATCAGCTCCTCCTGTTACGGTCCACGGCTGCAGATGCTGGCTGCTCGCTAACAGGCTCCCCCAGCACAAACAGCAGCGCTGGGGTCCAAGGGATCAGCTCCTCCTGTTATGGTCCACGGCTGTGCAGATGCTCCACCAAAGCACGTTTCCACTCTCTGGAGAAGGCTCAGCGAATCCATACGGCGCCCGCGGGGGGCTGCGAGGGGGCCCCCTTCCTCTGAGGACCCTCAGAGTCAAACGCATTGGAGAAAAAAAAAAAAAAAGCACCTGAAAGTGCTTTCACTCGGTGCTTTCTAGGAGCATTGTGCTGTTAAATGTCACCGTGCTAAAAGTCACGCTGTGGCTCAGCTCTGATCTTCGGCCGCGCTGGCGGAGCCTGGGAGGGAGGATGCTGCTTCGGGGAGAACTCAGCTGGTGCTGGAACATCCCCGTGTCACCCGCTAGGATTTAGCGAAGTCTTGTCACTTCAATTACGCCCTTCGGCATCACCACCCACAGCGGGGATGATCTTTTTACTTAATTGAAGCCGGGTGTAATCTCCTTTCACCCCCCCTCGCTGTGCCTGCGCTCATGAGAGCCCGGCAGCCGCCCGCACCGGGCTTGGGGCTGGTAGAACCCTGGGGACTCCTGCCCCTTGTCCTGCCATGCACCGAGTTCATCCATCCTCTGCCCCATCCTGCCCTGTTGCCACAGCCCTGCACACGGTCCCCTGCAGCCACTTCTCCCCGTTAGAGACTTTTGTCCCAAAATCCGTGCTGGAGATGAGGGGCTGGAAAAGCAGCCGGTCCCTGTTTTCCTCCCCATGATGGGAAAGTGTCATGAAGCTGAGAAACCCACTGACAAAAGAGACGCTGCTCAAACCTCCTGTTGCTCCTTGCACCTGGCTGGACCCATCGCAGCTCTGATCAACATGAGCTCCCCGGGGAAATCGGCCAAGTTTAGGCCGCACGGGTGGGTTAGCACGGGGACAGCAGCGTGGAGCATTTATTTCAATGGTTTGCCTCGGCATCCCTCAAAGGCTGGTGGCGTTGGTTACTTTGGAGTAACCAAAAGCGCCTGCTCGGCTTGGGGCCATCTCGGATCCATCCCTGACACCTCTGCGGCGGCACAGTGAAGGACTGGGGGGGCAGAGAGGGAGGGATGGGAGGGGAGTGGATGGATTGGTGAGTGAGGGATGGATGGAGGCACGTAGGGAACTCAGCAGCCAGAAGGTTGGTGGATGGAGAGATGGATCGAGGGATGGTGGATGGAGGGATGCTGGCCAGGTGGCCACTCCTCCTGTGGGATCCAGGCTTTGGGGTCTCTCTCCAGGCAGCCCTTCCCCATGCCCATGTGAGGAGTGCAGAGGTGGATGGATGCCACGGGGTGGAAACCTCCCTTTGTGCACCGTGAGGCTGCACCACAGACGGGCTGGACACTCCGGCTCTCCCTGAGCTCGGCTTTGCCATTTGCACCCTCGAGGTATTTTTGCTGCCGGCACCAGGCTGCACCCAACAGCTTCGGGGCACTTGCAGATGAGCCTCTGCTCCCCAATAACAAGTGCAACGGCGTTTGGGAGGAGCCAGCGGTGGGGCTCTGGGGACCATTCCCTAGAGGGTGATGGATCCAAAGATGTTTTTGGGAGGGGACCAGCCCCATACGCCCCTCTCCGGTTCTCAGAGGAGTTTCCCACATGGCCAGTATTTCCAGTCCCTGCCCCAGCTCCTGGTAAGGGACAGCCAGAGAAACAGCGTCTCTGAGTCCCGTGAGGAACAGCTGCCGCCTCGGAACCAAGCTCAGAGCTGGGTCTGGTTGGGAAAAAGGCAAATTTATGCGTTTTGAGCCCTTAACCCATGATCAGCGTCCACTTCTCGGCTCTCACCTGACACGATGGCTCTGCTCTATGTGCAGGAGAAGCAGTATTTTTCCTTTCCTGGAGAGCTCCTCATGAGGATGCTGAAGATGCTGATCCTGCCCTTGATCACCTCCAGGTAAGACATCAGCTTCTGCTTCTGAAGTACCATGTCTCCATCACATTGAGATCACCCCATGATCCCCCTTTGAAGAGATCACCCCAAAACTGCCCGGGGAGAGAATAACCCCATCCCCAAGCAGCCAGCAACCAAGCAGCATCCCCTGGCTTGGTGTCCATCAAACCCCATGATTTCCCAGCAAAAGTCTGGGACAAAGCCTCACCTGGATTTGGTAGATACCTGCACCCAGGTCAGACCCCTGCACTGGCTGGGGTGTTTCCCTTCTTTTTGGTCCCGACCGGCTGACAATGCTGGGACCATCTGTGGGTGGCTGATGAGGGGCAGCTGTTCAAACTCAAAGCAGATTTCCTTCTTTAGAGGGTTTTGAGAAAGTTCAGGTAGAAACCACAAGCATCCCTCAATGTCGTGTCTATGTTGGCAAATATCACATTTATCAGCCTGGCCAGATGTAGAAATAAGAAACAGAGCTGACAGAGTCACACTCAAGTCTAAGCAAGGTCTTGAAAAGCTTACATGGATTTACATATTTTAGACACTTGCTGGCACATGCTCATTAGAAAAACCTAATTAGCTCTTTGTTCCCTTGAGGACATGTCACTTCTCTATTGGTTTTTCAGAGTTTGCTCGCTGTCCCACTTGCCTTTGGTTTGGTTTTGGGAGCAGTGTGGTCTCTACCCTGGTCACACTTGGCCTTTTTGGTATCAGCCCCTGTAGAGCTGCTTGCTTCCCCCCCTCCAGTACTTCACACCCCCCTCCCTGGTGCGCTGCCTGGGCTTTCCTTCGCTCTCAGCCCACCGCTCGCCTGCCTGCGGGTGTGGGGTCTGCACAGGGGTCCCAGGATTTTTCTTGCATGTTGAATCAAATCAGGTTTTTCTGTTATTGAATTATTGAATGATGGTGAAGTGGCGTCTTCTCTCTATGCATCAACTCAGACGGGACCAGGTGCACTCTGGGGATGGATTTGTCCACGTTGGGGCTCAGCTCCGGAGCTCCCCAAGCCTCACGTTGGAAAGCGTCACCCACCTCCGCGTTGCTTTTGTGGCCTCTCTTGAACTTCCCAAGGTCTCTCTCTCTCCTCCTGGACACGTGGCTGCTGGAGGGAATCTATGGGCTGGCCACCACCTCAACCACCCCTCCCTGTGTGACCCCAAGGGTGGCATTCACCCCCGCAGCCTCTGTCTCCATCACATCCTGCCCTGGGGCTCTTTGGGCCACTGCCAAGCGCTGCCAGTGAAAAAACAGCGGCCAGGAGCTCGGTGTGGGTCTGCACACCCATGGGGCACGCTGCAGCCCCCAAACTCTCCCATTTGCCCCCAGTGCCGGCACCACCACCAGCCAGCTCTCCCTGCCGGTGCAGCCTGTAATATCGTCTCTATTTTTAGTCCAGTTTTGTTTAAAAGTAGCTTACGGACTACTTCTTAGGAAAGCTTATGTGTACGTGAGGTCTGAACCAGCAGCTCTCTCCTTGGGGGAGCGGGGTCCGTCCCCACCAGGATTTTATGAACCTTGCTAATACCCTTCTTCACTGTTGACAGTGACATGCAGCAGCAGCAGCACAGGGCGTGGGAGATTTAAGAGAACAGTATCACACAAAAAAAAGCAGCGTTAGTTATTCACCATCAAAATACACTAATATTTACTTCTTATCCCTTATAGAAAACACTAAATATGGCCAGACCTTGAAAAGGGACCCAGAGAGGTGTCTCCTGCCCTTCGCAGCTCAGCCTGGGTTGCCACAAGCCTGTTGTGGAAATGAGATCCTGCAGGCACAGGCACATGAATGTGCAAGAGCTCGCTGATGCCCTTTAAGCACTGATTAAAAAAACATCTATGGAAACTTCTCCCACCTTGGAGATTTTTGCCCATCAGATGCATCTTGCACAGTTTTGGGAGCGGACACTGACTCCGATCTTTTCTGCTGCAGCCTCATGTCCGGGCTGGCCACCATGGACTCTAAGGCCTGTGGGAAGATGGGGGTGATCACCATCACCTACTACCTTTGGACAACCTTCATGGCAGTGACCGTCGGCATCATCCTCGTGGTCAGCATCCACCCCGGCGCAGCTGCCCAGAAGGACAACTACTCTGTGGGGAAAGTAGTGCTCAGCTCTGCCGATGCATTACTGGATTTAATCAGGTAGGTCGCGGGATTTCAGGAGGAGCCAAGTTTATGATGGCGTTTCACAGACAAGATATTCCCACAAGGCACCGAGTTCCTGGGAGATATTGAGATGTTAAGGGAACCGGGAGAACCATTGGCCACGCTGACGAGGCACCATTACCTCAGAGCCCAGCGACGTGGGGTTCGTTTCTCCCCACGCGTGTCCCTCTGGCCACTCGGTCACCCCCATCGCTCTCCTCCCAGAGCCACCAGCACAGAGGGGTGCGGCAGCAGAGAACGGGAAGATTTAAATTCCCTGCGAGGCCGAGCAGTTCTCCCTCTGCAGCCCCAGCCGCGACATGCCAAGCCCTGCAGCTCCTCGGGCTCTGCAAGGTAAAAGTGAGCAGGAGCCGGCCCAGGGCTGGGCGAAAGCGGTGGACAAGGCTGAACTGGGGAGCAGGGTGCAGCACGGACCCCGGGGCTGGGGGAGAATCTCCGTTATCTGGAGGCGTTGGATCAACTGGACGAGGCTTTGAGCATCCCACTCCAGCTCTGCAGGTGGTCCTGCTCTGAGCAGGGGGCTGGAGATGGCAGAGGTCTGTCCCTGCCTCTGGCTTTCCATGAGTCCAGTTTACGCACGGTTCACAGTCCTGCTCTTCGTTCACCTTCCAGCCCGTCTTCGCCCTCAGCTTGCACAGAGGACATCCGGCTGCTGGTGGCTGTAAGGGTCCTTCTCTCGGCCCCGTGCCCGCCAGAGCTGCCTCCCAGGTTGTTCCCCGTGTCCCCACGACGCGCTTTAACCCCTGCGCCATTGCTCTCTTACAGAAACATGTTCCCTTCTAATCTCATCGAAGCTTCATTCCAGCAGGTGAGTTTACCCGGCCCCACTGCCACAGGCAGCCGGGACGGTGCTCAGCTCCAGGCGGGGCTGCTCTCCTCCCTGTCTGGGGGCTCTTCCCCACCCACAGCCTGGACATGAGCCCCTTCCCTTCCCTCTGCCCCCCTCCCCGCCCTGCCTGCTCCCCAGCTGCTTTCTGCTCGCCCCAGGGTGG